AGATATTTTATGGTTTTGGTTGACGCTTCTACACGTTGGTCACACGTGTGCTTGTTGTCCACAAGGAACGCTGCATTCTCCAAACTGTTGGCTCAGGTTATCAAGCTCAGGGCTCACCACCCTGATTATCCGATCAAATCTATTCGATTGGATAATGCTGGAGAATTCACATCTAAAACTTTTGATGACTATTGCATGTCGGTTGGGGTTGAAGTTGAACATCCTGTACCCCATGTTCACACCCAGAACGGCTTGGCAGAGGCTTTCATTAAGCGTTTACAAATGATTGCTCGATCGTTGGTCATACGTACCAAGCTCCCGATCGCTGCTTGGGGCCATGCAATATTGCACGCAGCAAAGTTGGTCCGCGTGAGGCCTGTTGCGACACAACCATTTGGTGCCCTTTAGTTGGTCACCAGATGCGAACCCGACATATCGCATCTGCGCATTTTTGGTTGTGCGGTCTATGTGCCGATCTCGCCGCCCTTACGTACAAAAATGGGGCCTCAGCGAAGGATGGGAATCAATGTCGGATATGATTCTCCTCCGATTATTCGTTACTTAGAACCTTTGACAGGCGATCTGTTTACCGCTCGTTTCGCGGATTGTCACTTCTATGAGACAGTCTTCCCGTCGTTAGGGGGAGATAAGAACGTCAACGTTCCTAATGAACGACGCGAATTATCGTGGACGACTCCCACTTTGTCTCATTTAGATCCCCACACCGCTCAGTCTGAAGCTGAAGTGCAGCGCATATTAGATCTCCAGAGCATAGCTCAGAGCATGCCAGATGCTTTCACCGATTCAATTCATGACAAGATCACATATTCCAGCTGCGAATACGCCTGCAAAGATGGATGTACCAAATGTACGACGGACTACCCTCCTGGAAGCCCGGGACGCCAATTCTGGTGATCCACATACATTAGCGGCTAGCCAATCATCTGCCCCTACACAAAAGCGTGGCAGACCCCTTGGTTCAAAGGATTCACACCCCCGGAAGAGGAAAACCACGGCACAAGGTCCTGAAGAGCCTACCGTGAATCCGACTATCGCTTACTCATTTTACCCAACTCATGAGGAAATTCTAGATTATGGAAGTGTCCTTGAAGAGACGAATCCTCCTCCCGAGAATCTTGAGATTTCGGTCTATTATGCTAGCTTAGATGATGTGTGGCGTAGAAATGAGATGATTGTCGACGATGCATTAGCATTTGCAGTAGCTACTGAGATCATGTTGAGCGATGACATTAAACCGCGTTCCGTTGATGAATGTCGACGTAGAGCTGATTGGTCAAACTGGAAACAAGCAATCCAAGTCGAACTTGATTCATTTGCGAAACGTAAGGTGTTTGGACATGTAGTTCCTACTCCTCCACATGTGAAGCCCGTTGGCTACAAGTGGGTTTTCGTTCGAAAGCGTAATGAGAAGAACGAAATTGTGCGTTACAAAGCTCGTCTTGTAGCACAAGGTTTCTCACAACGCCCCGGGATTGACTATGACAAAACTTACTCACCCGTTATGGATGTGATTACTTTTCGATACCTTATCAGTTTGGTAGTTTCCGAAAAACTAGATATGCAGCTGATGGAAGTAGTAACCGCGTATCTCTATGGGGATCTTGATACGGAAATTTATATGAAAGTTCCCGAAAGACTTACATTGACTGGTTCAAATATTTCCAAACCCCGGAACACGCTCTCAATTTGGCTTAGGCGTTCACTATACGGTTTGAAACAATCCGGAAGAATGTGGTATAACCATTTGAGTGAGTATTTGACTATTCAGGGATATGTGAATAACGAACTATGCCCTTGTGTGTTCATTAAGAAGTCACATTCCGGATTTGCGATTGTTGCAGTATATGTCGATGACATGAATCTCATCGGAACTCCTGAAGAGCTCGCGAGAACTGCTTTGCACCTGAAGTCGGAATTTGAGATGAAAGATCTAGGTAAGACTCGATACTGTCTCGGTCTTGAGATAGAGCATTGTTCGGATGGAATCTTAGTACATCAATCGAACTACACCCAGAAGGTGTTGCGCCGTTTTAATGAGGATAAAGCGAAGTCTTCAAGCACTCTTATGGTCGTTCGTACGCTAGATGCAAAACGAGATCCCTTCCGTCCGAAGGAGGATGATGAAGAGATTTTGGAGCCTGAAGTTCCTTATCTAAGTGCGATAGGCGCTTTATTGTACTTAGCTCAATGCACTAGACCCGACATCTCCTTCGCTGTTAATCTTTTGGCAAGATACAGCAATGCACCAACACGCAGACATTGGACTGGCGTGAAAGACATCTTCCGTTACCTTAAGGGTACTACGGATTTGGGCTTATTCTATCCCTACGAATCCTCGAGTGATGCCGCACCCTATGCTCATCGGGTTGATTCTCGCCTTATTGGTTATGCCGACGCTGGATACTTATCTGATCCGCACAAGGCGCGTTCTCAAACGGGTTATGTCTTTACCGTTGGAGGCACCGCAATATCTTGGAGGTCAACTAAACAGACCTTAGTTGCCACTTCGTCTAACCATGCTGAAATTCTCGCCTTACATGAAGCAACTCGGGAATGCTTTTGGTTGAGAGTAGTAATGGGCCATATTCGAAGCTCCTGTGATCTTCATCCCGCCGTTAATGCCCCGACGACGATTTTTGAAGACAACACAGCTTGCATCGAACATCTCAAGAAGGGTTACATCAAAGGAGACAACACCAAGCATATTGCGCCGAAGTTCTTCTTTACACATCAACAACAAGAGCATCAGAAGATTGAAGTCACGTAAATCCGATCACAAGACAATCTGGCCGACGTCTTCACCAAATCACTACCGAAGGCGACGTTTCAGAGGCTTGTTCATGGAATTGGTATGCGTAAACTTTCTGAGTTGTAACTTTGCTATTTCTCTTTGGAATTATGTCAAACTCAGGGGGAGTATCTTCTGGATACTTGCTTGATCTTAATGTACTCTTTTTCCCTACAATTAGGAGCATTTTTCCCACTGGGTTTTTGCTACCTAACTAGGTTTTAACGAGGCACACACCTTGGGCTGGTCATATCCCTGATGACGTCCTGTAGACGTTTCTTTTGACTTTGCATTTCTCACGCATTTTTCCTTAGATTATGGATTTTGTCCCTACTCGGGTTTTTGCCATAGCCTTAGGGTTTTTTAGTGAGACTTACTACTTATGCAAGTTCCTACCTTATTGAGAATAAGTGTTGTTCCTTGGAATCAATGCTGACGAGTCGACTTCCTCAACTTCTGCATGATGCTGAATCTACCTTGAGTATTTACACACTCAAGGGGGAGTGTTGTAAACATTCCTAGTATAAGTATGATTGTGTAAATCCTAGATAAGATTTGCTTCTAGTTATCCTTTCCTATTACAACTTGTATTACTTGGAGGAGAAGAAATATATTCTCTACCTTTACTACTATAAATAAAGGCACAATGTAGGAGGGATAACAACACACATATTCCCCTACAATTCTACAAACACACATCTCTCTTCTCTCTTTCTCTGCCGCCGGCCCTAGTCTCTCTGTCAGATAAAATAGACCACAATAAGATTTTGATTTTTGTATAATATTTAACTGTTAAAAGACTCAATGTATTTGATACTCCGAAATATCGAATAGATCATGTGTAACAACTTCTAACACGTTACGCATTCATAACATGAAAAATGTCGGATTTTGATTTTTGTATAATATGTAACTGTTAAAAGACTCAAAGTATCCGATACTCTGAAATATCGAATAGATCATGTGTAACAACTTCTAACACGCTACGCATTCATAACATGAAAATGTCGGATTTTGATTTTTCTATAATATTTAATGGTTAAAAAACTCAAAGTATCCGATACTCCGGAATATCGAATAGATCATGTGTAACAACTTCTAACACGTTACGCATTCATAACATGAAAAATGTTAGATTTTATTTTTTGTATAATATTTAACGGTTAAAAGACTCAAAGTATCCAATACGCCGGAATATCAAATAAATCCTGTGAAAAACTTCTAACATATTATATGTTCATGACATGAAAAAATTCGTAAAGTGAACGACATTGTTTATATTTCATATGCTATACATATGAGTATCATTGTTATTTTATATCTTCTGGTAAACTTCAAATTCTCGTTTTCTATGGAGTTATGTCGGTACATTTTTGGTCACTATATGTTTGTGGTAATTAATATTGAGCAGAAGGCTACATGGTGCCGCCTAGCAAATCAGCCCGTCCAATTTCAAAGAACCGTCTCAAAAACCAAATAAATTAGTATTGATATTTGTGGAGAGTAGTTTAGGTAGTAAATTTTCCTAATAAATTGGTATTGAATTCACCAGTCACGAGCTTTAAATGTAATGCATTCATTTATAAGTGAAGATAAAACAAAACTACATCGTAGTACTAAGTGTCGTGTGAAATTAATCATAAATTAAAATCTAAATTGCTGAATTAATCAAAATTAAGTATTGATATTGACTACATAATGATCAAAGATTGACAACAATACAATCAGATATTGAAGACATATACAAAATTGGCCGTTTTAGTAACTAAAATTTGAAAAATAATCATTTTGGTCAATTTCTCAAATAACTTGACATTTAAAAACATAAGGAAAAAATAGAGAAAATAATGAAACATGAGTAATGATATGAATGTAGTTTGTTTGTTTGGTTTGTTTATACTCCATTTCATCCATGTAACTTCACTTCAAATTCATAAACAATGTAGTTTCTTCAACTTACGACGTTGTTAAAACGAGAAGAACTAGGAATAAGAATTATTCGTCCCATCCTTGTCTATCATTTTTGGACGAGGAAATATTGGATGTCATTGAATATAAGGCATAATCTTTAAATGATCTCTCAAAATTTAATTTACATTTCATTCCAGCGTAGATGCAATGGTTAAATTGATGAATTTTCACTTATCCAGTAAGATATAAATAAACTACAACCAAATGAAACGTGTAAAAATAAACCAAAACGTCGTCGTCTGTTAGCTAGAGTACCAAAATGTCGTCGTTGTGAGAGTAAACGACTGATGCAGTGTACTTGAAGAAGTCGCTATGGAGTGGGGATAACGCCGAAGCCCTCGTCGGAATCTGAACCAGAGCCGCCGTCCACCGCCGTAGGCGATCTGGTCAACTCGTTGACCCAGTAGAGAGTGTATCGCGAGGTCATGCTCGCGCTCCGGAGAGGCCTCCGCGATGTTCGCGCCGAGTTCTCCTTCCTCCGTGTCCGCGGCCTCCTCAAGTTCCTCCGATCGGTCGCCGAGTCCGATTCCATCATCAACCTCTTCTCTCAGACACAATCGCTTCCTGAGCTTCAAGGTAATCAGAAAATTACAAAATTCCTAGTTTCTACTTAATCTTTTGTTTAATTTTTCTGATTGTTGAAATTGATTTAATTATCGTTTTACAGTCGTGCCGGTTCTGTTTCGGCACTCGCTGAACGATTCGGACGATGAGATCGTACGGAATTTGGATCACATATTCGGCGTCGAGCCGCTGAAGATCACAAGCCCTTCAACCGATTCCGAGGTTTCGCTTGCGCTTAGGGTTTTGGAGGGTTGCTGCCTGCTTCATCCGGACAGCGCGGTTTTGGCTCATCAGCACAAGGCCATTCAGGTACTCAATGCTGCTAAATAGCTTAACCAAAATCTATGGAGGTTGGATTACTGAGATGAGAATGCAGTTTTTTGTAATTGGGTTTTTGTAGGTTTTGATGAATATATTACCGACTTGCGGCGTGATTGAGCAAGGAGCTTGTTTGGATGCTTTGATTGCTATTATGTTGGATTCATCAGCTAATCAAATGGTAAAGCTTCAAGCTTCTGTTTCGAGTCAAATTTATGGAGTTTAACTTTTGTAGAGATTTTATATAAAGTTTGATTCAATTCCCTCGAAATCTCATGGAAGATGTGAGATATATAGATGCTTAAAATACACTACGAAATCTTTCCAATTCCCTCAAATTCCTTAACTTTTTAAAATTCTTTCAAATCAATTTCTAATTGAATACACCTAGAATGTTATAAACTTCTTTAAAATTTTAATTGAATACATTCAGATTTCTAAGCATTTTAATAAACTATCTCAGAATCTTGATTGAATACACTTCGAATTTCAGAAGATAACTTAGAATCCTGAATGATGATTGAATACCCCTAGATTTTTTAAAAGAATTAAAATCCCACAAAATCCCAATTGAATACATCCCTTATTGTGATTGGTTTCGGAGCGGTGATGGGTTTTTTTTATGATTCGATTGTTTTCTTGTGTGTAATGTGTAGGATTTTGAGGCTTTTCATGGTATTGAGGAAGTTGCAGGGCTCAAAAGGGACAAACAAGTTGATGAGAATCTCAGGTTTTGATTTATTTCTTTTTGCTTGCTTGATTCTCGTTGTCATGAGTTGTGATTTAAAGCTCTATCTGGATAAATTCTGGGGTAAATGTTAAAGTTTTGGCAAAAATAGGTTTGTTCATCGGACGATTCTTAATAGAATCTCGTCTTTCCTTTTTTTCTAGGTTTTTAGTTAAGCTATGTGCTGTTGCTCATTTTCATGTTTGTCAATTGAGTAACGAGGTCATCTGCTAGGAATTAATTAGATTTGAGGATTCTGAACACTGGTGTGCCTAGGCTTGGTCCTTTCTTTGCTAATATAATGCACACTGAAGAAAAACACTGTTGCTTTTGATTAGGTTGAAATGTGGAGAGTTCTTGCTGCTTTTGATTGGTCATGTAAATGGGAGGGATAGGCCACCGTTGGCAATTACATGAGGACATAAGACATTTTTGGGTGAGAAATCTGCTTCCTTGATATGGCCAGCGAGTCAGTTTGGTTCGACCCTTGATCCGGAGCAGAGACTAACTGCTCATCACATCCAAGCTCGTCGTGTGATAGAGTCCTTAGATTTGTACTGAATCTGAACATAGAAAGCACCCTAGGCATTTTGTTTTGTTTTTCTTTCTATTTCAGTGAAATACAATCAGTAATTTGTAAGAAAATGGTCGTCTTCAATGAAATGTTTGCCTTGACATTTTGTGCAGTATAATTTCAAAATCATACAACATTCTACGGAGTGCCGTCATGGTAGCTAAAATTCCTCATGCGAGTCTGGAAGCCCTCGCATTAACAATAAACGAACAGTCACAAGTGAATAAAACGCAAGGAACTGTTGTCGCTAAAAGTAAAAGACCCAAAATCAATAATAATATGAGAGTGTTCATGAGAAGAGCTTGGGTTAAATTTAATTTAATAAAAAAATAATGCTATAATTTTATTTAATGAAAAAAACTTAAATTTTAATGAAAAACCCTTAACTTTTAATAAAGAGAACAAAAGAACTTAAATTTTAATAAAAATGACAGAATTTTAATATTTAAAAAAAAAACTTGACGTGCCTAGATGTGCGCGTCCATCACAGTCATTATTTATGAAACAATACTACACTGTTTATGAAACTTAACAGTACTATACTATTTATGAAACTGCAGTGCTATACTATTTATAAAACTAAACGGTATTACACTATTTATTATCCAGATTCATAAATAGTATCTAGTTCTTGGTTCACTTTTGTAAATAGTGTTTAGTTATTGAATCCTATTTCATAAATAGTTTATAGTAATTGGTACAGTTTCTAAATAGTGTCTCATTTTTTATCTAGTTTCATAAATAGTTTCTCATTTTTTATCCAGTTTCATAAATAGTGTCTAATTCTTGGTCCACTTTCATATAGAATGCCTAGTTCTTGATCATGTTTCATAATTAGTGTCTAGTTTTTTGTCCAGTTTCATAAATAGTGTATAGTAATTGATACAATTTCATAAATAGTGTTTCTTTCTTGGTCTTGTTTCATAAATAATGTCTCTTTCTTGGTCCAGTGTTTTATATTGAACTCTTTCGATTATTTATATTTTCTAATTAAACAAAGAACCAATTAGAATTGGAGGTAATTGAAAATTCATATGGTTCACAACTCAAAGTCTTTTTTTGGAGTTCCTTATGTTATGTTAATGAACTCCACAAGTTCTCTCTAAGAATGCTTTTAAGTTGGTCAATTATTGTGTGTCTTCAAATCTAATAACTCCAAGACTAAATTTGTAAAGACCCCAGTGGCGATGGAATTATTTGAAATACCAGAAACTCTTGAGAACTTGCTGTCAATAACCATGAAGTATCACATGGAGCATGCATTTCCACTTGCATTGTAGAAATTTTGATTTGTTGGTCCTTCTTATTCTCAACTTGTAATTTACTTTGAAGTGTGATTAAGACAAATGACAAACGAAAGTGGAGAAGAATCATCTATTTTGTGGGAGTCATTCATCCTTCCTCTTATCCTCCAAAACGACTTTTGTGTTGATTGTTGCAGGCTTTGTCATTATTTTGGAGAGACAAGTCATCCTTTAATTACTACACCTACCTACAGAAAAAGTAGCTGGTCCACTCACACATGTTCCATACTTGACCATTTAAGTCAATAACCTTGAACTATCGCATGGATTTCCACTTGCATCGTGGAAATTTTGGTTTGCAGTCCCTATTATCCTCAACTTGTAATTTACTTTGAAGCGTGATTAAGACAAATGACAAACAAAAGTGGAGAAGAATCATCTATCTTGTGGGAGTCATTCATCCTTCCTCTTATCCTCCCAGAACGATTTTTGCTTTTTGCAACTTGTTTGGAAAATAAATGTGAATATGTCTCTCAAGAGCTGAAGCGTTTTCCGTGTATTTTAGCCTAGTCCAAATAATGTGAATTACGCATTCTGACTGTTTGCAACTTATTTGGAAAATAAATGTAAATTTGTTCTCTTAAGAGTTGAGACGATTTCCGCGTTTTTTAGTTTGGTCCAAATAACGTGAATTACACGCATATATGTTGTTTTCTAATTCCACAAAATACAAAAGACTTTTAAAATGTAAACAGAACGAAACAATCAACGCGGAATTGTGTTGATTGTTGCAGGCTTTGTCATTATTTTGGAGAGAAGAGTCAGCGTCTAATTACTACACCCACCTACAGAAAAGTAGCTGGTCCACTCACACATGTTCCATACTTGACCATTTGAGTCAAGACAACTCAGTGTGTGGATCGTATTGTGAACTATTACGTACTCAGCCAGCCTTATAATACACTCGCATCTTTCCTTGTGCTCCTAAATCAATTCTGATTGTACACTTCTTCTTCATTCTTCAATCATCTTTGCCTTGATTTTGTTGAATTAAGATGGAGAATGACGGAATCAGGTGCTTGAAGAAATTCTTTCACACTTCCATTGTGGTGCTACTTTTTCTACAATGTTTCAACCCTTCCCTATCCTCTGGATTCTATAATGTTTCTTTCGGTTTCGAAGCAATTGGCCACCGGGTGGTGACGAGGTGCATAGAGAGTGAAAGGGAAGCACTCCTTTCTTTCAAACAAGGTCTGATTGATGACTACAATCTCCTCTCCTCCTGGGGAAGAGAAGAACACAAGCAAGATTGTTGCAAATGGCTTGGCATCCACTGCAGCAACCGAACCAACCATGTTACTCAACTTGATCTTGGATGGAATCATATGAATGAAGTTTACTCACTTCAACAGAAAGGACAGCAGGAGTATCCCGAATATTACTTTCGAGGTAAAATGATGAGTCCTAAACTAATTGAGTTGCAGCATTTGAAATATTTCGACCTTTCTTCCGTTAACTTCACTTGGACCCAGCTTCCAGATTTCATTGGTTCTCTTTCCAATTTAAGACACCTCGACCTCTGGACTGCTTCTTTTGGTGGTCGAATTCCAACTCAGATCGGAAACCTTACCCACTTGCAATATCTTGATCTCAGATCCAATCACTTTGCTAATTTAGAAAACCTGAATTCATGGCTGCCTCGTCTTTCTTCTTTAACATATTTGGACCTGAGTTTCAACAATCTCAGTAATGTTCCTAACTGGATGGAAGCAGTTAATAAGCTCCCTAAACTTACAAACTTGTCTCTGTCTTATTGCAGTCTTCCTTCTCCTCTAATTCATTCCAGTACTCTTTTTAACATAAATTCTTCTAAATCTCTTGCTCATGTTGATCTCAGTGACAACCAACTCACTTCTTCTTCCATATTTCTTTGGTTGTCCAAATACAATGCCAGCCTTGTTCATCTTGATCTCAGATACAATAACTTTGCTAATGTAGAAAATCTGAATTCATGGCTGCCTCATCTTTCTGCTTTAACATATTTGGACCTGAGTTGGAGCAATCTCAGTAATGTTCCTGACTGGATGGAAGCAGTTAATAAGCTCCCTAAACTTACAAACTTGACACTGTACAATTGCAGGCTTCCTTCTCCTCTAATTCATTCCAGTACTCTTTTTAACATAAATTCTTCTATATCTCTTGCTCATGTTGATCTCGGTTACAACCAACTCACTTCTTCCATATTTCTTTGGTTGTCCAAATACAATGCCAGCCTTGTTCATCTTGACCTCTCTTCTAACCAAATTGAAGGAGGGATTCCGCAATCTTTTTCCAAGTTATGTAATCTGCAAGAATTCAACCTTTACAACAACACTCTAAGTGGACAACTTTCTTCGTTGGTTCAAATATTATTGTCTGCATGCCCTGATCAAAACTCATTAGAGACTCTGGACCTCTCAAGGAATCATCTTTCTGGATCAATTCCCAATCTCACAAACTTTTCATCATTGAAAGAATTAGTTCTCTCTGACAATCAATTGAGTGGAACGGTACCTGAAAGCTTTGGGCATATGTCTACGCTCGAGAGTATCTACCTTGGTATGAATGGTTTGGAAGGTGTGGTTTCGGAAAGCCACTTCTACAATCTCTCTAGATTAAGGAATTTATATATGTCCTATACCTCACTATCTTTAAGCTTCAGTTCTAATTGGACTCCTCCTTTCCAATTGGATTCCATATATTTGAGGTCTTGCATGGTGGGTCCACATTTTCCAAAATGGCTTCAAACTCAAAAAAGTTATAAAGTACTTGATATTTCTAATGCAAGAATTTCTGATATCCTTCCAAATTGGTTTTGGAGCCCTCTGTCTCATCAGGATCGTGGATCTTTTTTTATAGATATTTCCAACAACCGAATTAAAGGAACAATTCCAAATTCAAGATTTGAGTTTCCCTCATCTTCCTTTAGTCAAGTGAATTTGAGTTGGAATCGATTGGAAAGTCCAGTCCCTTCATTCCTGTCCACATCAATATCTCTAGATCTCTCCAACAATAAGCTTTCAAGGTTAATTTCTTTCATTTGTCCAAAGACTTCGAACAAGGTTAGTCCTTTAGCCTTTCTTGATCTCTCAAGCAACAATTTGTATGAACAACTTCCTAATTGTTGGACACGCTTTGAAAATCTTGTCTTTCTTGATTTGAGTGATAATGCTCTTTTTGGGAAAATTCCTACCACAATGGGCTCTTTACCTTTTATTCAAACGCTGAAGTTAAACAAGAATGGGTTTGTGGGGGAATTGCCTTCATCTTTGAAGAACTTTACTAGACTCAGTGTTTTTGATATTGGAGAAAATAACTTATCAGGTTTGATACCTGAATGGTTAGGGGTTGGACTTCCAAATTTGGCTATTCTTATCCTCCGTTCTAATCACTTCTATGGAAGCATTCCACTACAATTGTGCAATATGAGAGACATTCAAATTCTAGATTTTTCGATGAATAACATCTCTGGAAATATACCTAAATGCATCAAGAATTTGACTAATTTGGCTAAAAAAGGAAGTTCAAGTATAGCTATCTATCATCTCTATAATACCTCAACTGGCAGCCAACGAAGTTATTTGGAGGAAGCATCCTTGATATGGAAAGGCAAAATGTCGAAATACAAAAGTACTTTAGGGCTTGTAAAGAGTATTCATCTGTCGAGTAACCGATTAACAGGGGAGATTCCTACAGAAATCACTGATCTTGTGGGGTTGGTTTCCTTAAACCTGTCAAGAAACAATTTAACAGGTCAAATAACTCCAATGATCGGGAAATTGGAGTCCTTACAGTCCCTTGATCTGTCAAGAAACCACATATATGGTGGAATACCAACAAGCCTTTTTCAAATATATGGTCTTGGTGATTTGGACTTGTCAAACAACAACCTGTCTGGAAAAATTCCAATGGGGACTCAGCTCCAAACCTATGATCCATCTGCTTTTGTTGGAAATCCTCTGCTTTGTGGAATTCCACTTCGACAGTTGTGCTCTCCTGAGGAAACAAGTCCAGAGGAGCAACCAATGTTTGGGGATCAAGTTAAAGAGAATGATGGGCTTATAACAACAGGATTTTACTTGAGTTTGGCGCTTGGTTTTGTTGTTGGATTTTGGGGAGTTTGTGGGAGTTTGATATTCATCAGGTCATGGAGATACACATACTACAAGTTCTTGAACTATGTGTACGATTGGCTTTATGTGAGGGTGGTGTTGATCAGGCGACGAAGAACGATTGATGGGTAAACTGTAAGTACTCTTCCACATAATGAATAATATTATTGCAGTTTTGAGTCTTTAAATTATGACTAATATATGGTGTGGTTTTTTTAATCTTTTTAGCTCGTGCATCTACCGTTGGTAAGCAGTGCTCCCTTTAAACAGGAGAAGAAGGAGATTGAAGAGTGCAATTTGAAGTTATAATTTAGTGAAAGTGTTGTGTTTAATTTAGTGGCCTTTTTGTTTTTGCAATGACGTTACTTAGATTATCTTTGAGGGGTTAATTAGGTTATTTTCATCCTCTTTTACTAAGTGTACCAGTTGATCCTTTTCAATAAATTTCTTTGAGAAACTTGCAAGAACTTATTAATCAAGTTACAGAGAGAACAAGCAGACAGATAACTCAATAAAAGATTGGATACATTAACATTGAGAACATCATACATTACGTTGACAGATAATTCAATCAATATATCTCACATCATCAATTGTTGATTCTTTATGGTTCAAGTCTGATCTGACCTCATTATCTTGACAACAGGGAAAAACAATTCGAATTATTAAAAATCTAAAATCTGATTTGAGTAAGAGCTCACTACTGGTTTAATTGACTATTCTCATCATTCATTAATTCTCATTGCCACCTTCAGCCAGCCAACGTAAAACATGAGGTTATCGAGTGCACCAATTGGGCAATTTAGCATGACAGACGATGCATGCATCAGTTTAGCTGCGCAATGTTAGAAAAACAAATTAAGGACCATATTCTGTAAAGATTCAACACACTTTAGCAAATTGATTAGTAGCATGCCGTAATAACGTAGAGCATCAAACTTCTATTAATACATCAGGAATCTAAGAGCGTGTTTACGAATGGGAAATGGGACGTGGGGAATGGGAATTGCACACAATTCGATGAATTCAAGTGTTTACTACCATAAGAGGAATGAAAATCAGTGGAAAAATGGGGTGGGACCCAGCTCATTTCTGGAATCAGACTTCGGGTAACACCGGAGTCGGATTCTCTAATAGTACTTGGTATTTGGATTCCTTGAAGGGGAGTCCTCCAAGAATCAAAGTTTTGCTCCAAAATTACCCTAATTTATTTTCTTAATTTCAAAACAGCCTTACAAACTTCATCGCCAAATCCAACATAGATACCCATATCACTCTCTTCTCCAGTCTCACCAATTTTCCTAGGAGGAGCGTCGGTCCGGCCACACCCGAACCCCAGTTCTCCTCGTCGCTTGCAGAATTTAAGAATGAGAGAGACAGATGAGGATGCATGTGAATCTACGAATTCGAGAGGTGGTGGGATGGTTGTGGGGGCTAGGGAAGAAGAGGATATGGATGGAAGGGAGGAGAAGTGGAGGACCTGTGAATATGGGAGGTCGTGGGAAGGCTGTGGGGGTTGGGGAAAGATAGGATTGAAGAAAGGGAGGACATGAGGATGCTGGGACATCGGGAGGAAAGGGATGAGGTGCTGGTTTTTTTTATTTTTTTTATTTATGTAAATATTACCTTAAGAATAGCTTCTTCAATTATTTTATGAATTAATATGATATGAAATATAAATCAATTCCAATAACTTTATATGAAAAATAATTATTTAGAACAAGGGGTAGTTTAGTAATGATACTATTTTTAATTCCGATTCAACTAAATAAGTAAACAAGTTTTATGGAATTGACACCAATTTTATTTCGATCCAAATACTTTAGTAAACAACTTTAATAGGAATCTGATTCTGATTCCTCCTCAATTTAATTCCTCTCAATCTGATTACGGATTAGTAAAGGTGTTAGTACTATCGTCCCACTACATTCTCTGCAATTGCAAACTTGTGTCTGAACTATTCTCTAGTCTCTCTCTCCCACTCTCCCTCTTCTCATTAGATCTTCCATTGTTTGAGACAGATGTGACAATGAGCAAAGACGAGAGATGCGACAGACCGAAGACGAGTGAGAGTCAGTACGCTAAAAAAAAAAAAAAAAAAAAACCATTACCTAGAGAGCATTTAGGTGGGTGCCTAACTCTTACATGATTTTGTTGGACGATTTGATCTAAATCATGGAAACACTGCCAATTTCTAGAACAGTGAATAAAGTAACATATCGGTTGGAAATTAAAAGGAATGAAGAAGTCAAATTGACACATAAGCCATCAAATTTGAATCTGATGTTTAGTATTTGACATCACTTTTGGAGATGCTCAAGTGAGTATATAGTTTTTCTTCTTCATTCTTCAATAGTCTTTGCGTTGATTTTGTTGAATTAAGATGGAGGGTGATTGTTACACCCACCCCCACTTATAAATGTAATTATGTAATTCTCCCCAAATATTAATAGAATTATCAATTTGGACCCTATTCCTTTACCCAATCAGGATTTGAAAAGGAGATTTGTTCTCATCCTCAAACTGCCACGTGGCAGCACCCCAACACCCCTCACGTTTCTCTCTCTCTCTCCCCTACCCCGTGACCCCCTTTCCTTTCTCTCTCTCTGTCTCTGCACTCACTCTCCTTTCCCTCTATCGAAACCCTCTCATCCCTCTCTATTCCCTTCACCCGTGAACACCCAAGTGTACCCATACCCTTACCATCGTTCAGGCATCATCATTGTCATCAGCATTCTGCCGTCTCTCTCTCTCTCTCTCTCCTGTCACTGCAAGGAACGGTGGAACCCAAGAACTCTCCGGCGAGTTTTCTTTCATTTTTCCTATTAGGTAAGCTTCGAGTTTCCTCTATCCGTGTTAGATTGATGCTTAGATGTGGTTTATTGAGTTTTACCTCGTTATTTCCAAGGTTTTAGAACGAGATTGGCTCAGGGGAAAGCTCACCCATATCCGGCGAGCCCGTGGTTGTCGAGGGATTTTCCGATCACCTCCGACCGTTCTACGGCAAACCAAAGGTATAAAAAAACTCATCTCGTCTAGTTCTTCATTTTGATACCTAGATTGGGGTCTAGGGTGTGCATTTGCAGTCGGCCGGACCTGTAGAAGCTCCGGCGTTCTTCTCCGATTCACACTAGGCCTTTCAGGCCATTCTTAAAACCCACGGGCCTTAGGCCCGTTGTGAACGAAGCCCAAAACCTTTTTCCCTTTTAGTTTTTAATTTTTGTTTTAATTCCTTAAGACCCAAAGGCCTTCGGGCAGTTTCCTTTAGGGCCTTTGGCCCGTTGACCCAACCCAAAACCTTTTAAGTTTTATTTAATTGTTTTTAAAATAAAGGCCCTTAGGCCGTTTCTGTTAGGGGCTCTAAGCCCAAACCAACTCATTTGACCCAAATCCCTTAGGGCCCAATCGGCCCAACCCTAAAGCCCTAAACCCGGTCCAACCCTAAGCCAGACCCGTTTGACCCAGTCTGACTGTTGACCGTTGACTTTGACTTTCGGGTTTACCTTTCTATTTTCGTCCGGGACCTCTCCTAGGCTAATTTCGACATCCTGGACCTGTTTTTGAAGTCCGTTTTCCCAAATTCAATTGTTTGAGTAGAGTTTGACTAAATGTACCCTTTATGTGAATATGTGCGATTATTAGTGGTGATTCTGTTATTCCTTTTTGGTACGGCTTTGCACCAACGGTGTACGGTGAGTGGACCCCTTCAAAAATAAATGTTTTATTAGTAGAAATGCATACATGAAAAGCATGATTTAACGACTATGTTTTATGAAATGGTTTGTGAGATAACATGCTTATTGAGGCTAGTTTGAATTACTACTATTTTTCCTATAACCCGTGTTCTTATAGAATATCTGATGGATGACGATATGATATTTAGAACATGTTTAGAACACCTCTTTATAGTATAGATGATGGATGACTTTATACTATGAAGTTGCTTTTCAATATATATATGTTCAATGGTTTTGTACTTACCTAGTGGTCCTTTCCGCTACGGGACGTAGGGATAGATTCCGGTCCATCCCGGGCAACGGTTTGGTGTTGGCATAGGGCCTAGAGTGTGTTTCCTCTGGCTATTTAGCACAAGGATGGGGAGCCGGCATGGGGCCTGGGGGTAATTTTCCTCTAACTGTCTGCTCAGAGACGGGGAGCCGGCATGGGGCCTAGGGGTTATCGGACATTCACTAGTGATTATTATATATACAAGTTATGATTTGAGATATTGCACGGCATGCTAGGTTTCGGAAAACCTATGTTTACCATTATATATATGTTTTCATAAAACCTGGGGGTTAGTACGTTGATAACTGTTTTACTATATATATATATATATATATCAACTTAGTGATTATTATATATACAAGTTATGATTTGAGACATTGCACGGCATGCTAGGTTTTGGAAAACCTATGTTTACCATTATATATGTGTTTTCGTAAAACATGGGGGTTAGTACGTTGATAACTGTTTTATTATATATATATATATATATATATATATATATATATCAACTTAGTTCACTCACGTTTGTTTTGCACCCCCTTTAGGACCTCACAACGAGGAATACAATCTGAGCTACGAGGAATTTCCCTATCAGTGATTTAGTGCTATACCTTCTCTGCTTCGGCACCTATCGTAATAGCACTTCTCTATCTTAAATTCCGCTTGTACTCTGTATTAGACGTATGCTCTGAACATTATGTGTGTTATCAAAATTTTATTAATTAGCAGTTGAACTTTAGTATTGTGTTATTAGTCCCTATTGCCTGTTTTAACATATTTCTCAGCTTTTGCTTAAATTAAATGGCTTTCGTCACCCTTCGAGTATCGGCCAGCACGTGACCATCCTGATGTCCTGAGGACATCGGGATTGGGGCGTGTCAGTGACAGTAGGCACCTGAAACTCTTTCATACTATCATTGTGGTGTTGTTGGTTCTACAAAGTACACAACCTCTGTGGGGCGCATGCCTAGTAATACTAAGAACTAACTACGTTCATCAATGGCTTAAATGCTGATGCAGCATTGCCAATTCACAATCGAGCTCGGTTAGGCGAATATCTCTAATGTGGTGATTTGGTGAAGTGCTTTGCTGACTTCTGAATCAAACGATTTTGCCCCAGGAAGGAATACCCTCGGCCTGGGGTTCTAAAACTTGACAACAAGGTTATGCCAATGTCTATGAAGTTCAATAATAGTTCGACAATCAGTGTGTCGAACATTGAATGTGACTTGAAACATCTTCGATTCCAATATATTCTGAAACTAGGGCAGCTTGCTCTCCATTCCTCTCATAATACACATTCATCAACCTCCTGCTGAAAACTGAAACTAAGAAATCTTAATTAAACAAAACCAAAATCAAGCATGCAAATATTCAAATTGAACAAAAGGGTTTAGTAAAAAATCATTTATTAATGTCCATATCTGTTTCCTGTACAGCTTGCTCTCC